AAAATTGAACATTTTAAACTCCCAGTCTTTTGCCTGCTCCTGCCCTCCAAGCCATTGCCTCCCCTCCACTCTGTTTTGCATCCATTGTCCCATCTGCATTCACTTCTCTTCTGGTCAGTTTAGACTCCATGTTCCATCACATTGCTCACTCTTGCTAATCTCCTAAATTCCCTTGTTCCTTTGTTTTTTCTCATACTACCTAGCATCCACAGCCCTGGATAAGTCCAGGTCTCCACTTTCTCAGTGCCTGTGCCCAGGGATTGAGTGACCACTGGAGAAAATCACACCACTGGGCAAATTCAGGGTCACCAATATCACCCTGCCTTTAGCACCACCTGGCACACTATAACTACCTCCCACCCTGTCCTTGCTGTCCGACACTCATCAGTATTATTTCAAACCTTATCCCCTGTCCTCAAGGTGCCAATTTCCTTACCTTCCCCCATTACTCTCAGCAAATGACCTCTACTTCACAGGGAAAAGTTCAGCCTTTAGATGAAAACTTACTGGTTTCTTATTGTCAGCTTATTGTCCTGCAACTTATAAACTTACGTATGTCAAAAATTATTTTTCCTCTCTTGTTCTTGTTAAAATGCAAAGGGTTTCTCTTCTGTCTGCCTGTGCTCTGGATCCCTCCCAGCTTGTTTTGAATGGTGGTGATTACAGGAAGCAATATCCAACTTACAGTAGCTAACCAATGAGGACATTTATTATCTCACAAAACTCGTGTTATCAAGTACACAAGTGCTTTCTGCATTCTATTCTACTATCTCAGAGTGTAGCTGCAGCAGTACCAGGCATCATAGGCACACAGCCACATCCAGCAGAGAAGAGCTGTGCTTTCTTCCACAGGAATCTCTTAGGAAGTCTTCTCCTAGAAGTGTCCACCCCTGCTTCCCGCAAGGTACTGGCTGCAAGGGAAGGTTAAAAGAAAAGAAAAAAAAGTGCCTAGCAGTTTCCCCTCTCTGCCAGCAAAGAATAATGGGGGATATGGTAGAAGAATGATTGTTGAGTGGGCTACCAGCAGAATTTGCCATGTATCTCATATTCCCTCCCATTGTCACAAAGACCTCCCTCTTTCCTGTGTAGTCAATCTCTCCAAGACTATCTCCTTTCCATCAGTGTTTAATGATGTACAAGTCTCTCCAATCTTTAAAAAGGCTGTCTTTCCCAGTCCAAATCCCTGTCTAGCTAATGTCCTTTCTTCCTCCCTCCCCTTACACTTACTGAACCCCTCCCTCACCCCTTATCTCACCTCACTCTTCAACCCATTGCCATCTGGCTTCCACACCAAAGAAACCACCAAAACCCCTCTTGCTAAGTTGATAATCACCTCTATGTTGCTAAAAACAATGGCCATTTAAAAATCTTATCAAAGTTGACCCGACAGCTGCAGTCAGCACAGCTGCTTCTCATTCCCTTCTCAAAACTTCTCTACCCTAGGCCTCTTTAGTACCACTCTCTCCCATTTTCTTCCACATACAGTCTTCCCCCACCTTTCCTGAATCTCCTTTTCTGGTTATACTTGTCTATACAGCCCTGTAGATACCAGAGGTCTAAGACCTTGGTCATATACTCTTTACTAACCTCACTTTGCATACTCTGTAAGTGATAGCATCCTGCACAGCCTCAATTATCCCCCATATGGAGAGAAATCTCAAATTCCTACCTCTAGGTAAGAAATGTTTTCTGGGCTCCAAATCTATTATCTATCTGCCTATGTAATATCTCCACTTTAATGTCTTTCCGGCACTCCAAACACATGTCTAATACTGAACTCACATCTTCATGCACTCTTCCCTACCTACCTGCTCTTCCTTTAATGTTCCCTATCTCAGTACCACCTTCTATACAGTTTCTCAAGACAGAAACCCAAGATCTCTTTTTGGCTCCTCCTCCCTCAAATTCCATATCTAATCAATCAACAAAACCTGTTGGGTCTGCTTTCAAAATATTAAAAGTATCCACTTCTCCATCTTCCTTATACATGGACAATAGCCTTTTTACTGGTCCTTCACATTCAATCATTCTACTTCAACTCCAATCCATTTAAATTGCAGCATAGCTGCATATTAAAAACCCAGATCTTAGGGGCCTGCCAAATGGCTCAGTTGGTTAAGAGCACAAGCTTTGAGCAACAGGGTCACCAGTTCAATTCCCACATGGGCCAGTGAGATGTGCCTGAGCATCCTGCCAATAGGTGGCAGGATGGCTAAGCTGGCAAGAGCATGTGCTCCTAACAACAAGGTTGCCAGTTCACTCCGGCATGGGATGGTGGGCTATGCCCACCCTCAACTAAGATTGAACACGGCACCTTGAGCTGAGCAGCTGTGAGCTGCTGACGGTTGGGCAGGTGGCGACTGGACTTGGAGCTGAGCTAGCTGCACACTCCACAACTAAGATTGAGGGATAACAACTTGGCGTTCTTCCTCCCCAACCCCCCCAATAAAATCTTTGAAAAGAAAAAAAAACAACAACCAGGTCTTATATGAAACTCTTCTTTAAAATTCTCCAGTGGCTTTCTACAATTCTTAGAAAGATGTCTGCAATCCTTAACATGACTTCAAAGGCCCTGTATGATCTGACCCTTGCTTATCTTTCTAGCCTTATTTGCTCCATACTCCCCTATGTTCAAGCCATACTGGACATGTTTCAGTTTTTCAAGGGTACTGTTCTCCCTTGCTCCAAAGTCTTTACATCCCTGTTTTCTCTCCCTGGAATAGTCTTCTCCTTCACCTCGCTAGGTTTCTCCTGACATGTCATTTTCTCAGAAAGACCTTTTCTGACCCTACTAATCCATGTTTAGTCAATCATCACACTTAAGAAGTGCTCAGTTATCCCTCTTGTGGCATTCATCATCACTCACAATCACTTGTTCAGGGTCTGCCTTCTTCTTTAGAGTAGTCTTGAGTCACAAAGGCAGGGCCTTTGTCTGACTGCCTCACCTCATCAATGCCAGATACAATGCCTAGCTCATAGAAAAAGAGCAATAAACATTTGATGGATGAATGGAAGGCTATGAGTGATTCTTATATTTAATTCTAACTTTAGGAAAAATAAAGACATTGCTTTACTGAAAGAATTTATAAGTTGATTGAATTTTAAGAAATCCATTTAAAATTGATGGTGAAGATGGACTCTAATTCTTCTTCAGGAAGAAACTGTTTCCTATATAAGCAGCAACTGTCTGTAATCAGTATTATGTTTCAGTTTATAACAACACTCTTTGAGAGTCCTGATTGCAAAAAAGTAAATAAAAATTGGAATACAATTTGTTAGTTGTTTTTAGGTTATATATTTGTAGAAAAGGGGTATTTTCAGCACCTTAATCCTGCAAAGATTGTCAAATGGTTATACTGCTGGAGAAATTTATTTGATGTAGAATGTATAAGAGACAAGTGTATGCAACTTTAAATAAACCGTACAAGCCTCTTTAGTAGTAGTTATTAGAGACCATGTAATTTCATGAAAGTACTAAATATGGATGTTTTCATTTTAATGGCAACCAACCATAAAGTGCCATACTTTTTTTTTTTTTAAGATTTTTAAAAAATTTTTTTATTGGGGAATTGGGGGTATGGGAACAGCACTGGGGAATTGGGGAAGGGGAACAGACAAGATGCTGTCCTTTGTTTTGGTCTTCAGTCTAGTTGTGGAGGACGTTGCTTCACTGGCCCAAGTTGGCACCATCATTGCGCTCTTCCAGGGTGAGGCAGATCAGTCGCCGGCTTCTGGACGGCCACTCACTGCGGCTGCTGGCTGCTCATGCTGGCTGCTGGCTACATATGGTAGCCCATGGCAACCCACTGCCACAAGGGCTGCAGCCTACGCAGTCGCAGTCGACTCACAGCAGCCCAGCTCCAGGTTGAGCTGTTGTTCAGCGTCTTAGCTGTGGAGGGCAGTGTCACTGGCCCTCATATGTGGGATCCAAACCGGGGCCTTCTGGCGTCCCAAGCCAGTTCTTAACCATCCGGCCCATAATGTGCCATATCTTGATTATAGAACATACTCACATAAAATTGTAAACAAAGTCATTATCTAGTCTTCTCTTTTGTGTTACCATGGAAAGTAGCTGGAAAATAAATGAAATCATTATCTATTTTTTGCTTTTGAGTTACTTTAGAAAGCAGCTGTGGCAATAGCACAGCTAAGTGTCTTGAGGTTTTGGGATGATCTCTAGTTAATGACTAGAAATTGCTCAAGGCCTGCATTGCACCGATGCCCTCGGGTACATGGGCTGTATCCACATAAGGTGACTGTCATGGTTTTTATCCTGTCTTTTCTTCAAGTTGGGCTAATAAATTAAGTTCAATAGAAATCAAAGCCTCGCTCTAAATCGTTACAAAGCCCATTGAGTTCCATACCGAGAGACACCAAACCCTATCACACAATGGCCACTAATCGTAATATAGAATTACATCGTCCCCTACTAAGTAGGGTTGCACTCGGAGCGGGGACGATTTCCTCCACACTTAAGATCTCAGAGGACAGCATCTCCCGGTCAATGAGCGCCAGTGAGCGCCACAGCCTCTCCTCCCCTTTGTAGATTTGTGAAGTCTTTCTCACTGCTGCCTCCTTAGCCGTGCCCGGGAAACCACAGTGACATTTTCCACACTATGAGGGAGAACAAGCCTAAGAAAACTACAATTCCCGTCATGCCTCGTGCAGGCGTCGTCTACGCGCTGTAGCGGTTAGTCATCCTTCCCACAGCCTCGACTCACTTCCGAGGCTGTTGGGCCTAAGGCCTAGCGGGCGCGCGCACGCACTGACTCGCCAACGAGAAAAGGCACTGGGGCGCGTCGCCGGCGGCGACGTGTGGTGTCGCGTGACGCGGGGCGCTCCTCGCCCGCGCGCCTGCTCCAGTCCCTAGGGGCCGCTGACGGGTTTTCGCTGGTGCGGAGCGGGAGGCGGGGGACTGTAGGGGCCGCGGGGCCGGACGAAGCGGAGGGCGGGGTCAGCTACGGGACCTCGGCGACAACACACCAAGCGAGCGCCTAGGCCTGAGAGGAGCGATGCTGTGGTTCCAGGGCGCCATTCCGGCCGCCATCGCGTCGGCCAAGAGGAGCGGCGCGGTCTTCGTGGTGTTCGTGGCAGGTGAAGGGACCGGGTCCCGAGATATGGCCGGGTCACTCCCTCCGGCCTACCTCCAACCTCAGGGGCCCCCAGCCTTTCCGTACGCCGAGAGGCCAGGGCTGCCAGTCCCTGTCTTTTCAGCGTCTTCCCTGTCCGTTGGGCACAGCGGGCCTGGTCTCCACCGTCCGCTTTCCCGGCACCCAGGCAGAGGCATCGTTTCAGCCTCGCCCCCGGAGCGCGCTGAGCGGTGCCGACACCTCTGTGCTAAAGGAGGGGACGCGTCGAGCAGGCCCTCCCCGCCCAGCTTCTCACCCCGCGCCTCCTGAGGAGTCGGCGCACAGACCCCCACTGCCCCCTCCTGTGCGGCTCCGTGGAGCTCCGTGTTCCCGAGGACCCACTTTGGGATGCGTTAACACCCGTGTGTAGTTCTAGTGTTTAGGTGGGGGGATAGGGACAGGCCATTAGGTAGTTGGGTTCGTAATTAGTTGTGGACTCGCAGGAAGATAGCTGTGTCATCGGTAAGCAACAAAGAGAAACCACCTGATGTTCACGGTTGTTGGCGTTCATATGTTCTTGAAACGCAAAGTTTTGAGCTAAATAGGTTCGATTTTTTTTTTAATGATGAGGGAATAATAGATAATGTGGAATAATTGCTTTGTTGCATGTTGATTGTTTTTTCACCATTTGTTTAGAAGTAGACGTTCAGTCCTTGGGGTTTTTTTTGTTTGTTTTCCTAGTCTAATATCTGCAGTTTCCAGGACGTGTATTAAACTCATTTATGCCGTGTTGCTCTAGATTACTTTGCTCCGTATTTTACTACTTCCCTATTTTATTACTGAAATCTTCTTGATTTAGAGTAAACCTATGCCTCTCTGGATTTGCTGAGTCTCTCTCATTACATGAACCAAATCAGTGTTTGTGACTACTGTTAATTTGAGGTGTATTATTTCAAATATTTGTGTTTGATAACGGTTTACTTATTGTTAACTCATGACTCTTAGGAGACTACATAATAGCCCTATAACTTTATGCACTGCAGTAGGAACAAGTTATTGAAATACGAGTTTCACTTAACAAATTTAAAATTTATAATTGTTTTAAGTTATGTTAAAATTTTAGCTCCATGCTCTTGGAAGAGTTAAGTAGTTCATACTTTCTTATGCTGTTTTACAGTTTACATTTTACGTAAATAAATAACTACTGTAACCATATAAGGAAAAAAGTGGATTAAAAAGGAAAGGAAAATTAAATGATAGATACTATGCTTATTAAGAGTACAATAATAATTTTATGTTTCTCACATAAAATCTCAGTTGATTCTAGTGGTAGGTAGAACAGATTTTATTATCCCATTTTATAGATGAGGGAACTTAACGTCCACAGCGTTTAAGTGACATGCACCAGGGTCACAAAAAGGATCTACATCTTGTCTTGACAATTTTTTTCAGCAGCTTCAAAACAAGTGGCCTTTTTTTGTTTCTTAAGAAAAAAAACTGAACAACTGTAGTCTTTATGTAGTTACTGAAATTGGTGTAGAAATCAGGAAATCTAGGATTATGGTAGTCATTTTTTTTTACAAAAAACACAATTGATGGTGTCCAAATGTTCCTAGAAAGCACTCTTGGGCTAATCAGTTAATTTAAAAGAAGAAATGCTAGATTTAACTAACGAAGGCCATTAGCAGTCTGTCAGAGAGTCTTTCTGTCCCTTGACTGTTCAAAATACTGTTGGCTTTTCTAGAGTTTTAGGAAATTAATCTCCAAGACTAGGTAGGATTAGTGTCACTCCAGGAATTTGTAGACAATGGAGTCAGGAAACTGCAATACTTACAGGTTGCCTAGACCTTTATTATAACTGAAGAATAAAGCCAGAACTCGATTTTCTTAGCTCTGAGATCCAACAATAATATACTAACTCAGTAGAAAATTAAAAAGATATCTTTATAGCTGGAAGAAGTGGACATAAGAGTGGACACACTTTGGTTCATATAACCACTCAAGTGGGGAACATTAGGCAACTTTAGTGAAATTTTCATGGATGAATTAAATATCATAGGATTGATGTTAGGAAACTGGACAGATTACTGCTAGCTCAGCCAAAAAATTAACAAGACTTTTCAAAGTATCATAGCTATGTAAATTGAAAGAGAGAAAACTGAGAAAGATTTTGATTCTGTTCTTGGGAAGGTAGAATAATCTGACAAGGATCCTGAAGCAAAGGTGTCAGTTCACTGACTAGTGTTGCTAGTGGGCTAAAATTTCCTTGACGGACACTATTTACTGCCTTTTTGGGTTAAAATAGACCATAAAGATCTTTAGGTTTTTAACCATTGGTGGTTTTTCTAGGTTGGAATTGCTGGCTTTACTAGGGTCTGTAACACTTCACTTCTGAGTTTTTACTGTTCTCTTTAGCTACCTTTCCTTTGGATTCTGCTGGTAACACCAAGACACTATTTTTTCCTGAAATTTGAGGCCCGCTTAACTCCATATTATAGTTCTAATTTGATTAAGACTAAGAAACTAAAGATACTGAAGTTGGCTATTAATAATCCTGCCCAGAGAGTGTTAAGATAGCTCTCATTGAGTTAAGTGATTCTATTCAACCTTAATCTCTTGGNAGCTCCAGGTCGAGCTGTTGTTCAGCATCTTAGCTGTAGAGGGCAGTGTCACTGGCCCTCATATGTGGGATCTGAACCGGGGCCCTCTGGCGTCCCAAGGCAGCTCTTAACCGATGCGCCACTCAGCCGGCCCCGACAAGACTTTTTGAGAACAAAAATAGTATCTATCATTAATCAACTAACATAGTTTTTTTCCAGCACCTGATCTACCAAATATTTGGGTTTTGGTTTTTTGTTTTTTAGCCATCCTGCCACATGTTGGCAACTCAGTGGTGGCTCAGCTCAGGCCAGGAATTGAACCAGCGACCCTGTTGCTCAGAGCTCACACTCTTGAGCGAGCTCTTAACCAACTGAGCCACTCAGCCAGCCTGAAATATTTGTTGACTGAGAGAGAATTCCATGCAAGAGGCATGATGCAAACAAAAATAGAGATGGTGAGAAATAGGGCCTGATACTTATTTACAGGAGTAAATTAATCTGGTTGGCCTAGAGAGCTCAGGTGGGGAAGTAGAAGAAATGAATCTTGAAAAAGTAGGTTGGAACCAAACTGTAGAGGATTTTGAGTGTTGGGCTACAGAATTTTTACTTTATTTTTGGAGGCGCTACAGAGCCAGTAAAGATTTTTAAGCAGGAACCAACACACCGAAAATAATTTGGGAGAAAGATGGAAATGACATCATTTTGTGGGATGGACTGGAGAGAAGGCTGAAAGAGTAGTTAGGAAAATTGTATGTATCTTTCCAGTGATTAGACTTCTGTCTCATTTGGTCTCACAGAAGCAAACTGAGAGATCTGCTTACAGGAAGTTTATTAGGGAGTGAATTGAACGATGTTGGTAATAACATTGGTAAAATGCACTTATAACAGAGGCCTAAGATGACCCCAGGTGGAGAGCTGGAGATAGGAGGCCCTTTGGAGGTCAAAATGAGGCAAGGGACCCTGGCCTTTGTGCCCTCAGCTGAGTGTAACACTCAGAGGAGGGCACAGATTTGAGGCTTTAGCAAACAACACTTAGCAAGCCGGGGTGAGTGAGTGTCCTGGTTCTGAAGCAGGGCTCTGGGTCGGCCACCACATATCCATGACATTGAAATTAGAAGGATTTAAGATAACACAAAAGAACTGAAAGGTTGCTGTGGCTAGTTGCACACAAATGTAATGGGAGGAGACTGGTTTCACTCTACGTGATGGATGAAAGGAATGTGTTGCTTCAGGAAGGAATATGTTCTAATTGAATTTGACAATATTGGACTTCAAAACTGAAGAATCTCGGGCC